TATTATAAATCTCACAATGTATCATGTGAATAACACACAATAATTCTTTCACTTTTAATCCCGAGAAGTTTCTTCCGCATTTAAATCTCAATGACAAGATATCCGAGTTTTATTTGTTTTTGTGTTTTCGCCTGGAAACCAATTATTCGTATCATTTTTTTTTTCTTTTCATGTCTTGACAGATAAATCTTATGTGTGAAGTGTGAAATTTATAAGGAGTTGGTTCTATATCAAGGGTCATAGCCAGTTTAGTAAGTAAATGTTTCTAACTATAGTACCTGGTTTTTAAAAAAGAATGGAACTTTAGTAATCTAAGTTTCTTTTCAAGGACACTGTTAATAACCCTTGTGGGTTAAGGATGATGTTTTATTGCTAGGTTCACGAGAAGAAGCTTGATGGGAGGTAAAGTGCTCTTTGACTTTCGACTCAGGAAGGTAACCTGCAACAATAAAATCCTTGATTTTTATTTTTTATTTTTAGATAATCTTGTGAAAAAAATACTGCCCAACTAGTTTAATTAGTACATATGCTTCTAGGTACGATATGTACATGTACAGTATGCCAAGAAAGAGCAGCAAGCCAGCAACCTAATGAGGAGGATCGAATCAGTCAGCTCCCAGATGATATCCTTGTGTATATCCTCTCTTTTCTAAGACTTGAAGATGCTAATAGCTAGGACAAGTGTTGTTTCGAAACGTTGGATAGATCTTCGGAGGTTCGTTCCTAGACTCGACTTAGATGCTTCAGATGATTTGGCTAAGCTTCAAAGTTTTGATAATGTGCGGATAGACTCGAAGGAAAAAACATACGATTTATCTCAACACATCTCTTCTTTTACTTTTTCATGTTGTTGTCGTGCTTATATTTCCCACAAAGGGAAAATAAACATATTATAGACCTAATGTTGTAGCTAAGCCCAATTTATTTTTTAGTCCCACTATTGGAATACATGTTTCGTTTTAGTTTCAATGTCTCGGCACTTGTTTCGTTTTATTTCCAAGTATCGCTAGAAGCCTAGAACAAAACAATGTCGTTAATTTCAAATGTCATAAAGGCGCCTTTCAGAAAGGAAAATAAAAATAGCTTTTGACGACATTTTAAGATTAAAAGCAAGGCACATATTTCAAACTGTGGGTCTAAAATGAAGCAATTCAACAGTTTGAGACAAATAATTTTATTTTCCCCAAATTTTGGAACTTAAACATTGATTCTGCCTTCCAGGAAATTATTTTTTCCGCCAAATTAATTAGAAGTTCATGATAAGAAGTGTTCAAGCAACCAAATGATTTGAGTGTAGTAGTACTATTAATTGGAGACCATTTTACGCTACCATCTCATATGCAAGAAAATGATCACTCAAATGGTTGGAAGATAGTTGGCTGACTTATATTTGAGATAAGAATCCATCTTTAGGTGTTGATGAAATGTAACGAAAATTTGGGCACAATTTTTCTTTTACGAGATTTGGTTTGCTATTTATAATCTCGGTTGCCAATGTATTGTGGAAGATCCTGTAGAAATAGGGTTTCGAGTTAATAAAATGGATCACATCCTAGCGTGCAAGATCGTGATCCATGCAAGATTAACAATCGGATGGGGCGGTGGGATCAATCAACAGAATCAGGTAGTTTAACCCTCTAAAAATAATGGAAACTGGTATATATATGCTTATCAATTTAATTAATTAAATTGTTAATATATTGAGAACTGATATTGCTCCCTCCACTTTAAAGTAATTTTCTAGTTCTAATTTTTATTTTTAGTGTAAAATTGCATAAAAATAAAGAATTCGAACTAAATAATTAATTATTTTGGGACTAGAGGATCGAATAGTTATTTTTCAAGTAGCTATTGTGGTTCATGTCTTGATTAATTAGTGGTATTAGGTTTTCTTTCGTGTTCATGTGTGGGATATTCCTCCACTTAAGATTAAACAGTGGTTAAAACAACACGTTGTCGTTATTTATTATCAATGGAATGAAATGATTTGATGATGTTTTAGGTTTAGGCTCCTTGATTAATTGTGATGATTAAAAAAAATTAAAAAGAAAAAAAATATGAAGGAGGAATCATATCTTTTGAATTGATTTTCGTTTTTGTGATGTTAAACTTGGTTTAATTTAGTATATTGGTGTTCAATACTTCAATTTATATAATTATATACGTTACAATCTTAGTGTCTCCCAAAAATTAATTATTTAGTTCTAAATTTTGCTTGCGCTCCAAACCAAAAGAAAAAAAAAAAAAAAGGATTTTGGCAAATTGAAAATATAAGTGAGCAATGCGAAAACGAGTGGGCAACACCAAATTGTAATTTGTTTTTGAAGTCTAATCTACGGTTTAAAATGAAAGATTGCGGATTGCCAGCTTGACAACGTATTACTTGCTATAAAGTATAAATACGACAGAGTCCATTCAATACTTTTCCACTCTCATATTTCATTTTCAACGAAAATTTCCTTCAAACACAATGGCCAGCAATGATAGCCTCCGTGTCGCCGACACCACCGGGAATCGCCACCACCACTCCGCCATCATTGAGTAAGGAATTGGTAGTCTTGGGTGTCAATTGTAGTTACTTAAGACTGCTATGGCAAGTCTTTGTGGATTGATACAAATTTTGTTTCCTGTTCATTTGTCACTGTTATTTGTTATTCAATCATTTTAACGCATGTTGTCACTATGTTTTGTTTTTATTTGTTTCAACATTACAATGCTTGTTCATGGATTGATTCCTGCCTACACTCACAGTGTTTTGCGGCTGTAGACATTGGCTCTTAATAGTAATTATTCTTAATATTGTTCATTGTTGTGAAATATTATTATTCAACTCTCACTTGTTGATTAAACTTTAGTGTCCATATGATTTTCAATCTAGCATTCATTGAGTCATTGAGGAAAATTTTTACTAACAAACAAAAACTAACTCAGAGGAATAATATGATATGGAGGGAATGTTTTCGTAAAAGGTCAATTTGAGTTATTTATATAGGATAAGAGCTTATATGGCAATTCGAGCCAAGCAAATCTCCATAAATGAATGGTCCATATGTGCTGATTTGGCAATCTGAGAGAAACAATTGCAACCGTCAATAATGGAATCAATGGACGATACAGATGTGGTTGTGTTTCTTTTCATTTCGAAGAGAACGGTTGGTTTCCCGCGCAAAGTTATCCGTCTTTGATTTCTGTTTATGTTCTTAAATTTGAAAGGCCCATTCGTCCAAGACTTCAAGTCTATGTTGAATTTCTATGTAAAAATAATTTCTTTTTTTTTTAATAATCCATTTAACAATGTTATGAGAACAAGTTGAACCAGTTATTCATTCCAAAACTAATTAGGAGGAGAACATTAAGGACGAGGGCAAGTTTAACCAATAATTCATTCCAAAATTAATTAGGAGGAGTTAACGATTAAGGCATTCCACTAAGTACTTTTGTGAGCTAAAAATGAAGAATACCCATACAATTTTTCATTCACATTTTAACTCATTTTTCAAATCAATATAAAATCTTATACTGGTAGAGAACCACTACCCACTTTTTTCTGTTAGTGAAGAAATTATCCAATTAGGAAATTTAATTTGACTCACGAATTCATGAATTATCTCATTGATGATGATTTTAGAATCTATTTTGGTTGTACTTTCATTCAAATCATAAATTTTTACATTTCTTGATCCCAATAATCACATTTGATTTAATTTCCAAATTTTTTTATTCATCTTTTTAAAAATAAAAAATTTACAACAAACTATCATTTTGTATCTTTTGCAGTTATTAGAAACAATTTTAGCTTTCTTAACCTTGAGCTTCTTCGTTTTTTGGGTTTTTTTAGTAAAATCTTGAATACGGTTTCTTCCATTTAAATTCAGTGAGGACTCACTACTTGCCAGTTGCAACAAAATACTCTCTAGATTTATTTAATTATCTAAAATATCCTTAACTTTATGAAAATGAAATAAATATCAAAGACACTCTCTAATATGTGGGTCAACTATTTAAAACAATCCTTCAACATTAGAAAGACGATGTATTGTGATGTTCACAAAAAAAAAAAAGAAAAAAAAAACTATTTTATATCTTTCATCTACTGGAAAATCTAATCAGTGGTCAGCTAGTATTGAAATAAAAACTCAAATTCAACAAAAATCAATCAGGAAATCAAATAAAAACTCAAATTCAACAAAAAATCAATCAGGAAATCTATTGTCGCAATTAAACCAAATCTATCGAGGAAGAATCAACTTAAGGGACTTCCCTCTCAAACGTTTTTTGTTTTTTCTCCTAGAGAATCTGAATCGCTGAATTGCCATCAATAATCTTCTATTGAATCGGTAAAATTGTGAGAGAGAGATGTCATTGATTCTAGAAGGTTTAGGGATACTTTAATCATTTATTATTAAATCAACCCATTTGAATTCAGTAGTAGCTGGTCAATGGGTGTCCTTCTCAAAAGTTCAGGAATTATCTAGAACATCAAAAGATGCATGGCAAAAATGGAAAACAAAGAAGTGTGATGGGTGGAGGTTAATCCTTTACAAACTATATTTAAACTATATTGGAAAATCTATAACAACTTGCCCCCGTAGCTCAGTTGGTTAGAGCGCTGGTCTTATGAGCCGGAGGTCGCGAGTTCGAGCCTCGCCGGGAGCATATTTCACAGATTCTGTTCCCATTTAAATCTTATTTTTGCTTTCCAATTAATAAAATTTCTAATACTTGCTTCCTGATCTCGCTCTGGTCCCGTAGCTCAGTTGGTTAGAGCGCTGGTCTTATGAGCCGGAGGTCGCGAGTTCGAGCCTCGCCGGGACCATGTTTTTGTTTTTACATCCCAAATAGATAAAATTAGAGGGTTTCTTTTCTTTTGCTTCTTCTTCCAGTGATTGCAAGTTTGGATGGAAAACGAATGTATAAATTGAACTGCCTTTGCCAATTAAGTGGAGCAATAGTAGTCTGGGCCTAGTTGTTGACAGTTGAACCTGCTGAAGGTCATACGACGCTCTCATTTCTAGTTGCCTTGTCAATTTTTTGTATGTTCACAATTCAGATGTTTTTGTCCACCCTCTCTCTTCCCCTTCCTTCCCTACCCCCCTCCCCTCTACTAATTTGTTACAATATTGCTGCATTTTCTAAACATAAAAACAAGAAAAAGTACTCCATTTCGGGGGGGATTGAGCAGTTTGATCAAGAATTTTAACATGGGTGGTTCTTCATGCAATTGGCTGAAAACAATAATCAGCTCCAAGGGAGTGAGGAAGGACCATATATCCATACAAGGAAAGGTAGCCTTTGATCACATTGTCCTTTTTTTCTTTTCGTTTTTGAAGTTATTGTTAGAGCTTAATTAGAAGAATGCGTATCTTAATGTCACATTTTTTGGTCTCTTTTATCTTTGGAGCTCAGCCATCTTTTTTTCTTTTTTGTGTCTCTCTGATGCAAACAAAAATCGTTATACATGATCAATTCATTGTGTTATATTTTGATTACAATCGCGTCAAGATTAAGGTTATGTTTTGCAAGAATTTTGCAAGGTTGACATGTGTACTATCTGGAATTCTGGATCAACTGATGGAAAGTTCTTACATAAATGAAACAGCTACTGGCATCAAACAACTTAGGACCCAATAGCTGCTCGGGGAGTTCCTCCATTCCAAGCAAGGAATCCAATGGAATTATGAGCAAGAAGTCTGGCCGAACCGGATCAACATTATTAACTCAGGATGTTGCTGCTGTCCGGATTCAGACAGCTTTCCGGCGTTATAAGGCGAGTTTATTTACCTATCATTTCAGCGTTTCTTGGTCAATGCAGATTAAATTTGTATAAGTGTACTTATTGTGTCAAAATTTATGGTTGCGAGTAATGAATGTATAGGCAAGGAAGGCTCTAAAAGGATTAAGGACAATCAGAAGATGTCAGGGAACTATTGCAGCTGTTACGAATGATGAAAAGCAAGCGCTTTCCACACTGAAACATGTGCAATTCTGGACAAGAATGCAAGGTGAGATCAGAACTCGACGTCTTGGAATGGTCAATGCAGGTATGATTCAGCAGAAAAATAAAGAAAACAGGATGAAACTTGAGGCTAAGCTTCAAGAGCTAGAGGTAAACTACGATTCCTCCTTGGTTTCGTTCTCATTCAAGTGAATGCACATTGTGTGATTCCTTCTATATGATCTGAATACCATTTTCCACGAATCAATATGATCATACAAAAGCCACATTCTCATTTGAAAACTAAAAGTTTAGCCTTGTCTTTTTAGTCTTTTAAGTTGAATGAGATGACTTGTGTGGGTAGGTTGAATGGTGTGGTAGCTCTGAAACCATGGAAGAAATTCTCCAGAGGATTCAACAGAGAGAAGTGGCGGCAGTTAAAAGGGAGCGCGCCATGGCTTACGCCTTTTCTCATCAGGCATGTATCTAAATATACGCTGTAAACTTTTAGTCATCATCTACTTTACATATAAAAAAGAAGTTGACAATATTGATATACTAATATTTCTCACAGTGGAGAGCAAATTCCAGTCAGTACTTTGGGCAGGCATATTATGATCTTGGAAAAGACAGCTGGGGATGGAGCTGGAAGGAGAGATGGATAGCAGTACGACCTTGGGAGTGTAGAGTTGGACCAAATCAATATTCAAAGAAAATGCATTCCAGGCAAGTGTGCAAGGCTGGAAAAACAGCAAACCCGAGCGCAATGAGAATCATCGTGACAGTGAAGCCATCTTTACCGAATAGGAAAGAAATTAATCAAGCTTGACACAAATCTGATCAGAACGATTGGTGTAGAAAGCCATATTCAAGAAACTCAACATCTCAAATGATTTGGCATGGAATGCCACAGTAACTACTACTTTTTATGGTTAGCTGGTGTTTGCGACTTTCATTCTATAAGATTTAATTTATACTCAAGATATATTATGTCACTATCCATAATTCCCAAATCCAAGAGATATTTAAGTAGTTTTGATTCTAAACTAAAGCCTACTTATAAATTATGTAAAATTATTTTTGATTATGTAAACTAGGTCATTACGTTTTTCATTGGCTTGTGCTACCAGTGAGACCGCGAGACGTTGAATGTCTCATGCACATGTTTTAAGAACTAAACTAAGACTGGGATGATCAGTATACAAAAGGGAACCCCTCACTCAACAACAACAAAAAGTAGACATCATTTTGGAAATGTACTACGATTTGGTCAAGGGAGAAATGTTTCAATCATAAGATACTTTTCTCTAGTCTTTTCCCTCTAAAATTTCTTTTTAAGCAAGTTCAATTATTGCGGTTGGAGAGCTATTGCTGCTGTTACCAGTTATGAAAAATTTAGCATTTTTCACTGTGGAACATTTGCATTTCTTGGCGAGAATGGAAGCAGAGATCAGAGCTCATCGACATTGGATAGTGTGGTTAACTAAAAAAATATGGCAAACACTCAATACAGAGGACTCTTTTGTCTCTTTTTTTTTTTTTTTTGTTGAATCAAAAGAGGAATAAGTTGTAGCTCCTACACTAAAACATTTCTCGGGTGCGCCACTCCGATAACATTATAGAATAGCCAATTTGTAACCCCTGGTGGTGGGAATTCCATCCTATACAGGCCAGGTAAATTTGACACCGCCAAGACAGCCATGTACTTGGCCGCAAAATTCTTCTCATGATGCACATGTGACACCGTCAAGGCATTCATATAGTCAGCCGCAAAACAGATGACTCTGATTACACAAATTGATGAACCAGATGATAGAAGTCTCTACTTCACAATTTCATATGTACCATGTTCTTCTGGAATAGATATATTCATTTTCATCTCTTGTTGCACCTGAAGAGTGGTCCAACTAAAATATGACAACCTTATAATAATTCCTCAATCCTCATGCAGAATTGCAGATGAACATCATATTAGTCTCCCTGCTTGCACATATATTCATCATCACCCATACGTATAACTACATACTATTGCCAATTCACTCCTCAAAAACCTGACTTTGGTTGCTAGACCAACCTCGCTAGACCTACAACCATGATTTGAATCCCCTTAGATATCTTACAAGTCCAAACTTTGCATTTGAAAGCAATAGTCAAACTTTTCCTTAAGTTAATTACTTTCACCAACTGAAGTAATTTGGTCTTCCTAAGATCGGAAGCTTTCAAAGTTTCTCAACTATCACTGAGATACTTAATAGGTACTACTAAATGAGAGGCCTTGCATTCAATCAGTGTTCATCAAATTAGAAATACATGATTAGATGCCTAGTGCTGTTAAGTTCGAAACCAAGCATACTGAAACAAAACAGGATAACCAAGTAAGGTCATGTTTAAAACTTGACAAAGCCTGAAGAACACACAAATGGAAGAGATACAAGATCAAGAATTTTGCTAATTGCGTGCCTATCAACCATCACTTTTGATGAATCAAAAGCATAAATTCAAACGAGATCCAAAATATAACATCAACTATCAACCATCAGTTTGATGAATCAAAATCACAAATTCAAACCAAATCCAAAAGATAACATAACAAACTCCATCAAATCAAACCAAAACAAGACCCTACATGTAACACCCCAACTAGTCCCCTCCATTATAAGAAAGGAGCCATAGTCGAATGCCCGCCCAGCTCTCGCTAGGTCTCAGTAAAACAGTTGAAATGGAAATCAAGAGCGATAACTTAGAACATCATGCCATAAGTTGATAGTTGATTTAAAAAGCATTACATGTTTTGTTTAGTGTATCGTAAATTACAATATTTGTCATCCATAAATCGTCAAAAGTCTATATTGCAGAAATACAACTTAATCTAGATCTTTTAGCTACACGCTAAATCTCTCACTTCACAAGAACGCTGCAAGAACCAACCTACTTCCGTTCCTGGAAGAAAAAAAAAAAAGTATACGTTTTGATGAGCGTATGCTCAATGAGGTCTCACCGGTTGCCAATTATTAAACTAGGTGACCACATAGCTAAACAAGTTTTCACAGAAAGCAAATACACATGGAATTCCTAGTATAGTAATCAAATTGAGGCATACGCCATAACCTAAACCTGCAACCTAAATATATTGGCTGACAGCCCAAAATTATGCAAATGAAATATCACAAATAAGCACATAAAACGCATATAAAGAGGGTGGATACATTGAGTTCCAACAAGAATCCAATCCTGGCCCTTTTATGCCTGGTGGAAAGGTTTCCTAGTTAGACTCATGATAGAGATGGACGAGGAGCATTTCAGTGGTCGCATACGTATGCATTTCATATCCCCAGCCTCACCCAAGAGTCAAACGATAACGAATGGTAATATCTTGAGATTTACCACAGAACCTTCTAGTGGTCTATCCGATACGATCTAGCCCGATGCTGACTCGCTCGGGTACAACTCAACTAGTAGGGGCATGGATCCACGTCTTAAAGGATGTTACATGCACAAGTATATGCCTGATTAACAGTGACGTGCAACTATATAACACGGTATAATGCCTCATGTGATGAAGTACACACGAGGATGCAAACAAACACGGAATGGTGTACAGGCATGGCAAATTTGAGTCATATAATCAAGCATGAAGAAGACAAGCATGAAAAAGAAAGACAACTTTAACAAGCATTCATTTTAGTCAATTACTCAGTGCGATGAAGTACACACGGAGACAAGCACATATGCAGTACTGCTAGCATATAAAACCCCGCGTGAGAGGAGGAACTCTCACCACTATGCTACAACAACATACAATTCCAGTCTCATATTTAACCTAACAATTTACATGCAATTAAATTAATTTACAGTGAGATAACTCACCTCAAATTATGAGTTTAGCAGCGCTATCTTGAAAACAAGGATGCCTGCAATATTTCCTAAAATGAGACTGTGCACATGGGGAAAGACATTGAGCACAATTACTCAACTCTCAGAAACTATCAGCTTTAGTTAAACCCAATACCCAGCTTAGCAGTTTCGAATCCAGGTTTAATCTTTACATCAGCCATTCGAGTTTAGAATCTTCAATTAGAGTTCCAAAATGCTTAGTTTAATTTAGAAACAAAATCAGCCAACATTTTCCTCTATTCAATCATCAAACAAAAGAAATTAATAGAGGAATCATGGGCAGTAGCTAAAATTCCAGCAACACAGTCATGCTTTGACGATACAACCAACCATCATTATCCCGGTCACACTCGTCATCTATCTTACTAAACTCAGTTACAAGACTCCAGATCTACTTTAAATATCAAAATCAATCTAAAATCCAAATCAAATGAAACAACTTACAAATCCACGCTTGGCTAAGGAAAGTAGAGTTTAAAATATTGATTATTCATTCCTTCAAAAAAAAAAATACTCTGGTATGAAAAATTGAACAATAAAACGGATGACAATTTGTAACATATCATAGGTATAATAATTTTTAACATTTTAATTTCTAAAATTGTAGGACTATTTGTTTAGGTTAAATTGAACATTGTCGTATATTGTATTGTAAATTTTACAATTATGTAGACTTATTTTGTTGGACATACGAAAGTGAAGGTTTGGCCTCATCTCACTGGATCAACAATGAGAAATTTGGGCCTTCTAGTCTACCATCTTACACAAAATCCAATCCTGCGAGTCGAAGAACTGGTTGTGATCCTTCACGAATAGGCGCATATGGAGTTTCCTGTAGGATCTATATAGAGAGAGGAACTCTAGGAATAAGCGTTATAGCGCGCAGAACCAAGTAGCATACGGACGTCAGTGTTTAATTTTTGAAGTTTCCGGGTTGTCTCCGCCAGTTGTGTGGGTTCATAATTTTCTTTTCAGTGAATTCTTGTTATTCTTCAATTGCATGACCCGCCGCAAAATTCCTTTTTATAATAATCTCGGAGCATGTATTCTTAAACTTTGATTAGAAAAATAAGTTTGACTGTATGAGATGGAATTATGCAATTCACTTGTGCATTATCAAAACAGAACTTGTCAATTTATCATTCGATTTCTTCGGATCGGGTTTAATTAATGGATTGCGATTAGCTTCTTTTTTTTTTTTGGAACAAAAAAATCCATTCTTTTAACAACTGTATAGTTCATGCGTGTCCCTTTCGTTTTTCCCCTAGTTCTATTATCTCTAGTTTTCTAGCCTATGGGAGTGTGCCCTAATTCACGCACTACCCTTTTTCTTTTTTTTTTTTTGTAATGATACTATTTGGACCTAAACTAGCTGTTAATACAAATTGATCAATATTCTTTACATGCAAAATCAATGTATTTATGTTCTCTTCATGTGTTAATTTTTGGGGTGATCCTCGGGCGTTATATTCTTGTTTTCTGAAAAGTATTGGCATCTGTTTACTGAGTAACTGCGAGTAATCAAATGCATGAAAGCCATCATAATCAGCATTGTAACAGAAATTTTCCAAAACCATTTTTGTCTTTCTAGTTGGATAAAAGATACAATTGAGGGAGGGGGCTCAAGTCGAAGTCATCAAATCTGAATTGCAATCAAAAGAAAACCCAAACCCAGACAATTCTGTTGCACTTCTAATCATCAAGCGGTTGTGAGCAGAAGAGAAAGATGTAAGACCCAACATGTAATTCTCTTATGCAAATGTGTATTAAGGTCTTTTGTTAAATAGGTCTTTTGTGACTAAATATAAACACATTTCAATTAGGTGCCCTATACAATGGGAGCCTCCAACAGATGGATGGGTAAAGTTAAATGTCAGCGGATCATACAATCCACATTCAAAACAAATGACAATGGGATTGGGAGGTGTGGTCTGAAATTGTCAGGGCGAACGCTTGATTGCCTTTATGTCTAAAATCATCAGACAATTCGACCATGAAAACTCTGATGGAGACTCGCAGCGTGCTGTATTGTTGGGCATACAGAAAGGATTGAAACTATGCTATGAAGATCATCAGTTTCCAAGGGTAACCGTCGAAATTAACTGTTTAGGGGCAATAAATATGATTCGAGGGAAGAAGAAAGTTCAGTTTAAGTATAGAAAGATTGTCGAAACTATCTTGTTGACGATGAAGCAGAGGTGGGAGGTCAAAGTGGAATACGTATACAAGGAGGCGAACAGACTGGCTAGCCGTTTAGCCACGGAAGCATTTGATTGTGCTAAAGTAGGTTGCAATGAGGTGAAACAACTCTCCCCAGAAGCTCGAAGGCTTTTGAAAGAGGATATGAAGAAGATGCCACAAAGGAAGGAAGAGGTCCAAATTGGAGAACGGTGTGAGTCGTGCTGCTTTTGGGCGCTCTGTTTCCAACTTTTACCACAGATGAGGACTAATGTTACTAAATTAACGGCAGCATCTGTAAAGCTTCCAAATTAATCAAGATTGTTTAGTGTTAATAAGTTTAAATTGAAAAAGAAAATTGCCTTTGTTTTTTGTGTTTTTCATTTGTCATGTGACTAGCTTCTGGGTAGTAGGTGGAATTTCTCCAGGTTTAACCGAGAGAAGTGACAGCAGTTGAAAGGGAACGTTCTATGGCATTTGCCCTACTGCATGTATGATGCTATCCTAAATCATCATAATAGGAAGGGGATTGATCAAGGAAGAGAAGGCTCGGAGCATTGTGTTGATAAACAAGCCATTCAAAAACTCAAACCCAGCTATTTGGGACATCAATAGCTGCGTCGTCATCTGGTTCCTAGTAAGTGAAAACCTGGTTTGTAATGCAAATGTAGAAGGGTTTGCATTGTGTTTCACAGAAAACAGAAACAAAGACTCCTTGAGTGAAACTAGTCACATTTTATCATTGTTTATGCTGTCAGTAATCACATCTTACGTTGTCGCTTGAATTAATGACATGATAAGGACTCAGATTATACAAACTGATTAAAGCAGGTGATAGAAACCTATAGTTTACAATAATCAGATGTGTCCTAGGTTCTTCTGAAATAGATATGTTCATTTTCATTTGTTGTACCTGAAGTCAAGAATGGTCCAGTTTTACATGAAAACAAGCTCTCTATGCGTATTCATATTTGTCCTCCGCATTTCATTATTATACAAACTAAGTTACCACAAACTTAAACATCCAACCAAAAAACTACAAACTTATTATACTGTTTGATCCCCTCTCCCACTACATTTCCAACTATTATATGAGGAATAATGCTACTGAGAATGATGTTGATAGAATAGCCCTGGCCCTTTTAATCTAATCTCTCAAACAATAAATATACTGCAAATCCAAGGTACACAGCTTTCTGAATGGCACTCATCAACAATAAAGAAGTACCAACAACCATAAGCAATTGTCACTATCCTTATAGCAGCCAAGTGTTCCCGTTTTCTTTCATTTTTCAAAAAAGGGAAAATGAAATTCCAGCGAGATTTCAAAGAGGCACAGAGATTTGCAGGGTAGGGGACCATGAACAATGAACAATGCCAAACACTATGGTTTGGTGGTATCCTTCCGGGTTTCTTTCCATAATTGAGCTTTGTCATCTCATTCATTCACCTACGATAATTGTTTGGTTCTTCTATTTCTCACGCAGATGAACTTCATTTTAGCCCCACTGCTTCTGCTTATGTTCTACCATACCCTTTAACTACATACTATTGCCATTGACTCCTCAACAACCTGACCTTGATTGCTAAACCAACCTTGATGGACCTACAACTGTGATCTGAATCTACCTTAACTATCTTACAAGTCAAAACCTTGCATTTGAAAGCAATAGCCAGAATTATTCTAGATTTACTTTCACCGATTGAAGTAATTTGGTCTTTCTAAGTTGTAATCAGTCTCTAGATTTCCAGCAGGTATAGCTTTCAAAATTTCTTAACTGTCACTTATACTACTAAATTGGGCATTGTAATTCAATCAGTGTTGGGCAACCACGCATACAGCAAAACAACTGTTAAAAGATGAAATCTTGGAGACTAATACTAACTACACTGAGCCTATATCAACTCTAATGACTACGACAGGCTACAGAAAATGACTTCTCTTAAAAATGCTCCCAAAATTTGAAGCATTGATAGAGATTGACAAATATCAATCATTCTTTCAAAGTTTCAATTCCTTTTGATGCTTAAGGAAATTGCTGGAGGATAAAAGCTTGCATTATAATGCTGAATAAAATATCAATTGCACATAAAACATCAATTATCATCTGCATAATCAAAACTGACCAGGCCCAATTTTTGATTTGTTCCTCCTAAATTTCAGGGAAAGAAGAACAAGCTTAAATACATCCTAACACACGTTCAGTTTATATTGATTTCGCATAGCCTTATTATAAGAGAGAACTGTGCCGTGTTTGCTACCAAGATCTGCTTCAATGCAGCACAATAATATTGTTCAAACACAGAAGAATCAAGTCTACTTCACAAACAGAACTTTGAGCATACAGTGATAATACAAAACAATTACAGCAACCGAAACGAAACATAATCCCAAACAAATTGAGCTATAACAGCTCACTGGAAACGTGAAAACTAAAGCTGGAAATACATATAACAATAAAATGGGAATAAAAAAACCTGAAACTAAATTCAGAATTTCTTCTTCCCAATAGTCACCATTGAGTTCTACTCGCTGAAATCTCTCCCTCTCTCATATGCTGCATACTTCACCGTCCTGGCAATGATAAAATCGAAACCTTGAAACTTCGTAATCGCACACCACAGCAGCAATAATTCAGTTCCTGCAAACTGAGATCAATGAAACAGCATCCCATTTTAAGACACAATGCATTTTAACTGGTTCAGCTTATAATAGGAATGAACTCAAAAGGAATCACAAAAAGAAAAATAACCTGTGAAGCGGAAAAGGGAGAGAAAATCAGGTAAAGCGAGCAAAGGTCAATGGTGAGAATCAGAGGAAGCAGAGGATGGCTTGTCGGAAATACCATCGTGCTCCTCTTCTTCACCTTGAATTCGTGCAGGAATGCGGAACCCAGAGAATCCACCAACTCCAGAGGCAAATCCAATGCTAGATATCGAAGACGGATAAATAGGCAGGACCGCTGCCTGATGATGGTGATGATGTTGAATAGCTTGATGATCTGCAGTGGCAATGGATATGGCTGATGGGTCCATCCAAGCACGAATTGAAGGTGTAGTACTGGACTGAAGGGGTCCCCTCTGTGAAAAAAGCTGATTCTGGCCGAACAACTGCTGCAAGAAAGGCTGTGGAGTTGCCTGCGAGTTGAACAAGTATCCTCCTCCCGTTGCATCTCCTCCGCCGGAATTCCACCCACTCATTCTCTGAAACCGACCCATTTCTGAATGCTGCTGGTGCTCAGACCAGCCTGATGAAGCATCAAAACCCATCTGGGAAGCTCCAGAGAATAGGGCCTGCGCCTGAGCTTGAACTTGTGCGTGTTCAGCTGTGTGGTTGGCGGGATGGTTCTGATGATGGTGGAGCAAAATTGGATCTTGGAATGACTGCAAGGAAAGCCTCAAATCTTGGCTATGGCTGCTTGTTCTTGAGAGCAAATCTGGAGGAGGGAAGCTCTGAAATTGCATAGCTGAAGAATTGGCCTCAGCAGAAGCCCCCATTGGGAAAAAGGACTTAATAGTATCAGCAATGGAGTCCGAGTCCAAAGAAGGAGGCAAAAAACTTGAGCCATTCCCACTCGAATTCTGAGCAGCATTATTCTGCGAAATCCCTTGCTGAGCATTTTCACTTCCCAGCATTGACATCGCTCTCTTATTCGAAGAAGAAGAGCCAGCATTGCTGTTTCCGACCACCACATCACTGTGGTGAATACTCAATTGCTGCTGATGGTTATTGGAATTCCGATTGTTCTCAGCTAAATTGGCTTTCTGGGCTTGCTCAAAATTCGAGTTTGAAGCTAAAGTACAAGCAGTGGGATGCCAGGCAGGTAGTTCGGCGAGCTCATCAATGGCGGGCTTGGCTTTCTTGATGAGCCAATCCACAGCTTTACTGGGCCGGTCATAGCCAAGGCGGTCTTGGACATCGTAGAATTGAATGGCAGTGTGGGCAGAGAGCCTTACACGGCGGTCCCTTGGGCCTTTGGCTGTGCAGACCTTGCTGTGGCGGTCTTTGCGCCCAGTTGACCTCACAATGTGCCCACCTTGGACTTCCACGATCTCTCCCACCGTGCTCCTCATCCCTCCTAGTCTCGATTGACGGCCGGTGGTTGTGGTGGCGGCGGCGGAGGGCTGCGGCGGCGGCGGCTGCTGGTGGTGCTGCTGCTGTTGTAGCTGGTGGTGAAAACTTTCTCCCATTCTTTCTCGCAATCTCGCATGTTCGGAGTCTTGCGGGAAATGGGTCAAAGAGGAAGAGGAGGGAAGGTAAGAGCGTTTCTTCAGCGGCTGTGAGTGGTGGTGCTGCGGCGGCGACGGCGGCGGATGTGGTTGTGCAAAAATCAGCTGGTGGTTCAAAATGAGTTCTTGGGATGATTGGTGGTGGTGGTGGTGGTGGGAGGAGGCATGGATGGATTGAACTTGGTCCTCCTCTTCCTCTTCCACTTCTCCTTCGAGTGAAATTGGGACTTGGTTTTGGTTCTGGTCCAGATAATGATTCCTCTGAGGATCCAGACTCAGACCCTTCTTGTGGTTGTACTCGTGTGGTTGATGATGATGATAATATGGTTCTTCCAGCTTTTGAATGACAGGAAGAAGGAGGAGAAGAAGATTTTTGCTGCTTCCTAGAAGGTGGTTTTAGTAATGGCTTCAATCTGTTTTCCAATACTACTGCAATTGTTTTCCTCTCTTTTCTTAATAAACTTCTCCTGCAATTTCTGAGACTGCTCCTTCTGCCTCTTCCAAAAGGCTCTGCCATTCAACCTCCCTAATTCCATTTACCTTACAAAACCAGCACACAAAACTAAACTAGACCCAAAAGGCTAAAAAGCTACTGCTAATTTAGCCTAACCCATCTCTACACCCTTTTCTTTTTTCTTCCCCTTTTTCCAGAGAGCTTTTAAATTCTGGCTGACTCGGCAAAATCTGTTCTATTCTATTGCTACTGTCCACAATTGTGCTGAAAGATTGAAAATTTTGGGTTTGCAGCTAAGGTTGAAGAAGAAGCAAGAGCTCAAATTGAAGAGCAGTCCCAGTGATTTTGCAGCAAAGTTTTCATTTTTATGAAGGAAGACAGTGTAGAGATAAAAGCGTTGTGAATTTTGGTGATGGTATTTAGGGAAAAATGTGGAGAAAAAACAGAAATGGAAAAAAGTTGGGTGCTTTTAGGGCTATATGGCCTATAACTGGCCTTGTTGATGCCACTGGAAAGAGTGACAGTGTTTGGTCAGAAAGGAGATTAAAGATCTTGGTGAGCTCATCACTGCTTCCCCTCTGCTGCTGCTGCTGCTGTTTCTGGCTGGCTGGGATGGCTGGCTGGCTCTTTGTTGTTGTTTTTGTACAGCCTTATTAGACAGCAACACATATACCAATTCCAATTCCAAAATCTGGTTTCATTTTTTAAGCTATCCACAACTAAATTTGGTTTTGTTTTAGTATTTTAACCTTTTCACCTTCATTCTTCTCTTTACTATTGGTTTCTTCATGTCCTTTTTGGGGGTCCCAATATGGGCTGGTGGTCTACCGACTTTTCCATTAATTATGAGTACTTAGTCGTTATTAAACTATAAGATATAAAGTAAAGAGTAACCGACCCTTGTTAGTCCAAGTGATAAAGAGTTTATGTCATAAGTCCCGAAATTTACTAACAACAATATCTGTAACTCTTACCTTAAACGGGAATGCTTCTGAGAGATGAATACGTATCAGTCTGAGTGTAATATGTATTTGTTGAGAACCTTGTGTAGATACAATTATTAAATAAACACAAGAGGAGTTGGGGGTTGGGGTTAAAGTGAAGAGGCTTTAAATGAGGAGCTTGGGTTTTGATTAGTACAAATTACAAAGAGATAGATAAAGATTGTGTTATTGTAGATTGGGAGATGCCACCACCCCTTGTGAAAATGACCTCTTATTACAACAAACACAGCTTTTTGTGGGTTTTTTTTCCCTTGGCTTTATAACTTTTCTTTTTCCCTTTCTCTTTCTTTATTGCTTCACTTAAAAGAAACAAAACAACACCCTCCTTCTCTTCTTACTGTGTCTTCTCTCTCAAATTTCACTCTCCCAAAACACCTTTTTTTTGCCTTCTCGTTTATGGGGATTACTGTACAGTAGCCATCCTTTTCAGTCAGTCTTTTCTCCTTTTCTTTAATAACAATATCTTAAATTTTCACCACCCCTTTGTAGTAAAACTTATTTTATGGTCGGAATTGAAGTTAATTTGTTTATTCAACTTTGAGAATAAAATAACCCCGTCCATGTTCTGTTCCCTTTTGGAAAACTTTTCAAATTAACTGTTTTAGTATTAATACTGATGGGCTACTTTTGGAACCAGATAAAAAAGAATACAATCCCATCTATTTTTGTACTTTTATGTGTCTGCCTTTCACTTTCAAGTTTTTCAACCCACCAAAACTTTTTACTTCCCAATTCCAACTCACCAAAGAAGTAACGGGACAGTAACTTGTAAAAATTGATACGATTGTAATTTACTCTGTCAACAAGAATTTATTAGATTCCTCTCATAAATTAATTTTTTTTTTAATCTATCCCAGTGAATCCCACTTAAATGTGGGTAAAACGCTTTTTATAACTCTTGTGAAAATCGAACTATAATCTATTGCTAAGAAAGACAGCAACCTAACCACTAAATTGTAATAGAAGTATATAGTTTTGAGTCTTCAGATTCGGTCTTTTTGATGGCCGAATTGACAAGGGAAATCATCATGATGAGTATGAGGATGTCATAAGAAACTTTTGTGGAAGGGAAGCACACATCTTTTTCCAGAGAATCAGTGTACTTAATCCACCATCTTCATCATCAAAATAATGCGAAATTTTGCAAATGTTTTGTAGTTGAACTCCTTTGAGTCTTCCTTTCAGCTTCGAAATACATACTTTTTCACATGCAGCAAACAACTTCACCAGTTCAACCCTTCATCTTGCAAGCTGCACCTTTCAATATTCATTTTTATCAAAAGTGGGGTAGGGAGGAAAGAAATATCTTCTCCACACTATCAAAATGCCAAAAAGAAAACAAAAAAGAAAAAAAAAAAGGAATTAAAGAAGAAGAAGAAATGTCATCCATACTAGTTATATATTCCCTCCTCCTAAAAAGATTTTCCTGTTTATTCTATTATTAATTTGTACAATAAAAATGATAATCATTTTAAGAGGAAATGAGTACATTTTGTGCTAATGCAAAAGAAAAATATCGTAAGTAGGTTCTATTCTACAGCCTAGATTTAAAGGATATTCCTCCACTTTGTAAGAGAACCGGGAACAAAGGTGATGGAAGACCAAATCCAGCTTCGAGTCAAGTCAACTACATAAAATAGTATCCATCCATTAATGAAGAAAATAAAAAAAAAAATCGTATTAATTTGTGAGTCAAATGTTTACCTTACTTTATGCATCATTTCTTATTCCATTTTGATTTAGTTCCAATAAAATTGAAAAAGATTTGTGATCGACCTTTTGAAATTGAAGTTTCTGCAGAAGTCAAATGGTTTATTATTAATAAAATACTCGTATTAAAAAGTGAAGTATTAATTATAACTTTTCACTATAGTTTGAAATTAATTTCAAGGAGAGGTTTTGATTAAAAAGAATTTTTTATCTGGTTAAACTTTTAAAGTATGAAAGAAGAAATCAAATGTCTTCTTTTTTTAAAAAAAAAAAAGGAAAAAAGGAAGAAGGAATCAAAAAAAATAAAAAAAATATTGGTGTGAATGAACAGCCAAGTTGGGGCATTTAACCCGAAGCTAGCTGTGATCGAAGATTGAATTCCCTGAGCGTCACGGCAACATCTCCCATATCCACCGTTACGTGTGTAAATGTGCTCTCGTCTTGCGTTTAAAGTGACAATCCTTTTACAGTACAAGAGAGAAATGGTCAATCTTTTTTCGATTATTAGGCAATTGTATTTTTAAATTTTCGCAGTTTTTACATGAAATTCCTGACTCCTTTAGTTATTTGTAACGGGTGCAATTTGCAGCCCATATGTTTAAACTAATCAAAGTTGGCAATTGAGGGTTCACCCCAAAAGAAATGGACAAAGTACATTTTTCTCCCGAGTTTTGCCCTGATCTACAATAAACGTCCCAAGGTTTCAACAATACTACCATTAAAAGGTATTTTTTACTGTTTATACTTTATACAAAATTGATGATAGCATTTGTATGTTAAGGAGATATTTTGTAGATTAATTATGAGTCAAAGGGTATATGATAATATTACTAAAAGTAGGAGGTTTTGTAGTAGATTCAACCAAAACTCAGGGGTTGTAAAATGTAGTTCGCCCAGAAAGAAAGAAAAGATGAAGTTGCTGATTGAGGAGACAAAGCATGCGAATTAAACAATTTATTTCCAGCAAACTGAAAAATGTGCTTGAGTTTGGGGTTCCAATATTATCATTATTATCATGGCATGCCACTATTAAGGAAGCCTGTCACATTCAAACGTTAAATCGGTAAACATGTGACACCTGGAAATCTTAAAAAATTTTACTGTTCCCCACGAAACCATGTTCACCCTTATCCTAGCCAAAACGCTACCAAAGTTTTCTTAAACCTTGCAATTTGGGCGACAAAATTTCCTACAATTTTCTCGTATTTTGCATATTCCCGCATGAATTGTTTTTGGTAATTGGTGCCCATTGCTGAATGAACACCCCTTTTCCTTATTCTTTGCCTTGCCCTCAAGCAAAAATTTTTTTGATATTGAACGAACTTTTAGGCCCTAGCTATAGACTCATTGAGTATAGCTAACTTGGAGCATTGGAATTGGATTCATTGGATCGACAAACATTCTCCCTTACGTGTTTCATATGTACAGCAAAAGGAGTTTTTTTTTTTTTTTGTTTTTTCATATTACGCACGATGTTGTAAGTGCATTGCATTTAGACTAATCCGCACTAAAGTGGGTCGGTCTTTTTTCGAAAAAAAAACTCTTCCAACATTTCTCTTTCCATTCACAAGACTCAAAACCGAAACTTTGTTTAAGAGAAACAAAACACTTTACCACTTTAACCAAACAAGTGCTGATGTGTTATAAAATTCATGTGATAATCTTTAACTATATTTTTGTTTTCGTTGGATTCGATGGTTACATTTTTTGCTTATGGTACATTGAAAAGCCTTTTTAGCTTGTCTAATTTCGATCATGGATTTACCATGTAATAATAGATTATTACACATCTTATAAACATAGTGATCGATTTAGATCTATGTACGTTGCTCCAATGAATCGGGTCATGAGTGACGGTAGTACAATACCTATCCATAAATTGTTGCAGTTTGAAGAACAAAAAGATTGATCAATACGTTTTATGCTCTCATTATTGATTACAAATTGTCCCAACTCCTTCCAAATTGGACCTACAATTAAATAAAAATACAATGGATTCCCACATGATTTTATCGTAAGATTATAACGTCTCATTCAGATTGTATAGTGATATACCATTATTAGTTGTTCTCTACTCTTTTTTTTTTTTTTGCTTAAAAAGCTAATCCTATATGACTACTTCATTTACTAGCTAGGCTTGTTGAACAAATAATCCATTTTCAACCTCCAAAGCAACACAAATTTCGGTCAAACAAGCAACAATTATGTTAATTATAAGACCGAATGACTGATTATTGCTTATATATTTCCTTCACAAATCACAAAAATGATGCAACATGTACATGTCCTTGTTCATTACACTTCTTCACCATAACTAGCAAAGATAATTACGAAAAATGATTGCTTCATGTGGTACGGTAAACTCGTACCTTATTTTCTGATATACTCTCATTTATAATTACTACTACTTCCGTCCCACAAAAATAAACTACATTGAGATTTCAAATTTATACTAAAAACAGTACAAAACTCAAAACTCAATATCGACTATTTTTTTAGAATAGAAGGAGTATAACTTATTCACTTGTTAATTTATGAATTATATTTTTTTTTCAACTATTAAAAAAACCACAATACTTGTAACTTTTTATCTCACTATACGAGATCGGCTATATGTATTTTGTTTAACAATCTTTCATATTGTAATAAAGTTATTATTAAGTCCTTTTTTTTCTTTTTTCTTTTTTTTTGTGATTCAAAATATTCACCATATCATGATCAAGGTTGTCGCAGTCTCCTGTGAAACCTCCTCATCATCGGGCACTTCTGCTTTTTGTGTTTTCTCTCGGTTGGTCGGATATCTTCTATAGTATCAAGTCATCATCCAGGAAATTAAAGGCAGGGAATAATATCAGATCTCCTAATTACTTTTTCTTTTTTAAAAAAATCACGAAATGCCAAATAAAATTTAAGTAAATGTGTTTTTTTCAACTGCAAATGTAAAATACGAATAAAAGTACATCCCTGGATTCGATATTTTTATCTCTTAATTTATTTTAGGAAAAAATATATTTAACGGTGACTTAATAGAGGATATATCTGAAAGCCACCATTCTGATGCAAACATTCAATAATACAAGTCGTCAAGAACCCCACTGACAATTACCAGACACTCAATTCTATTATTTTAACCATCTTTTTTGTACGGTGTTAATAAACCAAATTAATATGGAGCCAACCAACCTTCGAACCCAGATATTGTTTTTATGTATTTTTATTACAGAATTTCAAACTCAGATTTGTACGGTAAATATTTTGTTAATTCCAATTTTAATTCGCAAGTTGCAACAGCCAACCTCATTACAACTTTTTTTGTCTTCTTTTCTGAAATTTCTTGAACGCTACCAAAATAATTGATGCACCTAATGACCTAATCACCTCTCAATTATATATGTACGTACCAATAATTTATGCTCTTGGAAATTAATGTACTGCAAATGTGTACTACGATGAATTTGATACGTCTTTTTTCTTTTATTTTGATTTTTTTAATAA